ATGCTCCAACGAGCGTACGAGGAAGGAAATGTGAACAAACAATCCCTATCGACAAACATGGCTACTTACATGGAGGACACACACAGGGGTGCACTGAACCAATTCAAGCTCCATTGAAAATAGCCTCGTAAAATTAACCAAGTTTGGAGCCCTTGGCAGGCAAGTGAAGTCCCTGAGGCCTCTCAAACAACGAACAATGTCCCTAACTCCTCTCAAACAAAAAACAATGTGTTGTTTGGTCCTTCAGATTTCATTTGATTTCAATTTTTAGTATGTTAACCAATAAACTTTTTAATTATCCGCCAAAAACAAACTCACCCCCCAAAAAGTGAATGTTCCCAAGTCTTTTCAGCGGCCATTTTTCAAATCCCTCACCTTTCTGGGGCTCGTCTGACAAATTTTCAATCCCATCTTTGTCTGCATGCCCCCAGATGGGTGCCCTGAGTCTACAGAGATGATTCTGGGCCATACCGACACAACCCCACCATTTCTTGGCCAAAACAGACCCCTCGTTTTGAAAGAATCTGAGGGGGTACCTTTTGTGCACCTCGGCTTGGCTGAGATTTTCTTTGAATTGGGACACTGCATCCACAGGCGGAGGACAACAAAACAAGTACATAAAGTTCACGGACAATGACGACACCGACGACGATGTCAGTGACGTGGGCATAAATGGCAGCGAGGAGGATGAGGTTAGCGACAGAGAACCAGTGAAGAAGGGTTTCTTGAACCTCCTGTTGGAGTACGACTTCTGAATGAAATCAAACCATCTGGTTAAATTCTATTGAGGCGTCGGCAGGATCGAGGCACTGACACGTTCTCTCGCAGACGTTAGGTTTGCATTACATTTTGTCAGTTGTTAGTTTGTTTTTACACATTTTGTATCTGGGAAAGATTAACCTTTCTGATTAAACTTTCTGATTGTTCTAACGCTGGCTACAGGCACCCCTGCTCGGACAGTCGGGGATTCAAATTTGCGAACCGGTGAGTGCTCGATATTCAAGTCAGACTGTTTCATAGGAACTGTAGAAGATAAAGACCATAGGCCTTAACGGGGAAAATCCCACAAGACAGACAAGACGATTTCCACCATGAATGCCCAATTATCTTTGGCATCGTAATCGCTGTCACTCCCTCTTCATGTTCCCGTTCTTCTTCGTCGTCATCATCAGAGCAGAAAACTCGCACGAGACGCACTTCATTTCTGACATCAACAATGAAAATGTGGGTTGTGCTCAGCCTAATCATAACCCTCTCGGGGCTGGTTTGTTTCCACCGCCCAGGTTACCATCTTGTGCTTGAGGAAGTGCATGCGTATGCAGGTGGATGGACAACACGTGATCGACTACAACCACCGCCATGACGTGCAGGGGTCAAATTAATGAAGGTGGCCAGTGATGTCACCATCCGTGAAATTAATATTGACTAATTGCCACCGACGGATTGAAAAATATGAAGACAAAGGAAGAGAGGGATAACCAATTACGTGGTAATAAAGTTAACAGCATTTTGAACGTGTCACATTTTTCAGTGTGTCTTGTTCTATTTTTCGCTATCCTGTTAGCAAAGCTGCAATGCCTACGCGCTTTCCTAGAAATTAATAGCCCAGTAGTTGTCAGTGTTATTACATTTTGTTAGTTTTTGCCACGCTTTTCTTGATCTGTCGAAACTTGAGGTCCATAACTTTTGAACCGACTGTGAGGTCCAATATCGGCAACTAACGTCCTGCTTCAGGGTGAATAGTGAAATCCCAAGTCTTGCATCCAAAAAAGAAGGTGTCTCTGTCTCGTCAAGGCAAAAATAAAGCATCTTACGATTGCATTATTGTTATTTTCGTTTAAGTTTTTATATGTAGTCCAAAGATTTTTTTCAAAAATTTGGTACTTTCTTAAACGATTGTAATTATATGGAAACAATGGTAGTGTTTCATAAAGTCTAAACATTGGTGATCATTGGGAGTGAAATTGGATTATGGCGACGAAAAATATGTCCGAATTTTTTAATTTAGACGTTTCTGTTTTTCCTTGTCCTGACTTAAATTCGTCACTTGGATTTCGACAACCAACTGAATCCATGTCGGCGTTAAAATACTTGGCGACACAAGTTTGGAGTCAGATCTTAAACATCCAGTGAAACAGAACAACATTCGATTTATGCAAGTGTACACTATATGAGTTTTACGGTTATTGCTCAAATGGCAAACATGGTGAATAGATGCAAATATCTAAAGGAAAAAAGCAAGAGAATAGCTCAGTAGTAGTTTAACGATATCGTAACATAAATAGATTCTTGTCGGGGAGAAGTAGGAGATTCAGATATTTGAAGATTGAACCAAAAACCCTTACAAGTACACAAAAAGTACTTTTAACATCTTAGTTGGCGGAGGTACAAAGTCAACTCATTATTGTTGTACTATGGTCATTTTCAGCCATACTGGAAGGACGCAATTCGCGACTATTCGTATTATTTTGGTATCTAACTTGCTATAATAATTGTTTGAAATGGCCATTAATAAAAAACAAATCGAATCGAAATAATCGAAAAAATTCAGCCTTAATTAGGTAAAATGCTTATAATAGAGCAAAGCACATGGGCACGTAATAGTTTAAAGCATATGCACTTAATAGTTTAAAACTGATCCAAGTCTGTCTTGTCAACCATTTTCTATCTCAAAGTTTGTGAATAAAGATTAACTTGCAACATATTTGCCGAAGGGTTGCATGTCTGTTTAATCTATGGATAGATGGGAATACTGGTCGAAATAATTATGAAAAACGAATACATCTGTATTCCCCCAATAATGTCCGATTGCCAAACTTTTTTTGCGTTTTCTTTTTTATTCCGTTGACGCGATTATTAAGTGTAGGACACTTTCACCGGGTCACGAACAAAGTCATCTCGTAAGCTCTTTGTTTTGCCTTGGTGACATCGATAAATCGTGCCACAGACACACTGCATGGTTTTTGGGAGGAAATTTGGGGATTTAGAGGGTAAAAAAATGCGTGATTGCGTAATATCCCGCTGTAAACGTCAATGCGCCTGGTACTGTATTTCGGGTTGGGGTAGATCTGACCTGGCCAAACCGTGACCCCCGTCAACAAAATGTATTTTTTGGCCCTATATAGAAACGCTTGTTTTAGTCGGATTCGGAAAGACATGCTCTTGAACACCATACTTTATTGAAACAAGTGAACAACCCAGGTTGAAATGTCACCACCATTAAGGCAAAAGACCTATTTTGTTCAATAACCGTTATTCCCGGATTTTTACTTGCACCAATTTTTCTTCCCACCAACTTTGGCACGTTGTTAAAATGTGATTGACTTCAAACATGACGCATAAGCAGACCACCACCCAAGGATAGTCCTCGGAGACAGTCGTTGTAGCGACATCATCACCTGTCACGTGACAAGCCCTCAAAGTTGAATTCTTTGGAAGCTTATAACTCCAAAACCATACGTCTAATTTGAGTAAATCTTGGTACAAATACAAAGCAATTATGTATATGTGTTATCGGTGAAAAATTGGATGACGTTATGATGACGTCATCAGCTGATTTCTTACAATTTTTAAAGTTTTACGTTTCTTACCTTCTTGCTGTGTTTTTTGTTTTTTAAATTACGTTTTGCAAAACACTGAGTAGGCTAAGTAGATGTTTGAGTTGTTTGGAAAATGGGTTGGCGTCATGATAACGTCATCAAAAATACGATTTATTGTGTTACATACTGGACAAAGTCTGATCCACATGAAATTCTTTGGGTACGTAGATAGTTGGCCCTAAATCATGTTTGCAAAGTCAGGTTGTCATCACCTCATCCATTGATTTCCTAGTACTTTTTGAATATTTATCATTTGTTGGCGAGTTTGTCAACGGTGACCGTCACCAAAGAAATAATCACCATGAAATATAAGACGTTGACAGAACTTTCGCTCCAGATGACTGTGATGTGATATCGTGGTCACTTCATTAGGTCATGTATTATTAATTTAAATATTTATAAGAACAGATTGACAAGCGCGACTCTTGTCATTTTCCCATTTGTTTCACTATCAGTGTGTTACACAAAGGAACGGCTATTAGGCGTGACCTTTCTTCGGAAGAGTTGAGGTCGCAACGGCAAGTCGGCAACAACAAAAGTCACGTGACACTCATCCAAAGCTGTATTTGCAGGCCAGTATCTCCAGAGCCAAATGTCCAACTCGGATGAAACTCGGCATTCTCAAAGTAGGATGCGTTATAAATGAAAGCTGGGTCAAGTCGCGATGACACCTTCACAGGTCAAGAGGCGTAATATTGCTGATGATACGTTTAATAGCTACTGGACGTTTGAGTCCTATTCGATTTATTTCTTACATGTTTGTGGACGTATTTTTATGTGATTAGTAAGGTTACGTTAAGACGTCGCATGACATCATCTTATAGGGATACAACTTCATGTTGTATAATATAACTAGAG